ATGCTTTGCCTCCTTCACAGACTCCACTATCTCCTCCTGCACATTTTCCTCTACCTTCTCCGGCGTCTTGGGTTCAACTTCATTCATATTGCTTGCCCCAACACCCACATTCTCCGCTTCATGATAACCCATTGCTTCACTCTCCTCGTTCTCATTTCCAATCTCATCTTCCCCACCCAAAGATGGTCCTGGCATGTTATCCACCATAAAAAAGTAATCCCAAGCCATGCCCTTCGATTCAGGCATAGGCGGGACTGACTTCATATCTGGAGTCCGAGGCGGAGAAGACGACGCTGCTTCAGATCCTCCCTTTTTTAACGACTTTCCTCCATTACCTTTACTCATTTTAATATTTTCTTCTTCATCTTCACCTTCTTCGGCAATGGTGTCGGAATCCATCATGCGGGAGGGTTTTTGATGTTGCATAGTGATTGCCGGCATCGTCACAGAGCGCTTAAGCGGGCTCGGAGAGAAATCTGGGAGCGGGGGCGGAGGTGGCGGGAGGTTGTCTTCCGTGATCGGCGGAGGCGGAGGCGGCAGCTCTGAAGTGATGTCCAATGGCGGCTGGTGGAGTTCTTCAGTGATGTAGCTTTCGCCGTGGCCGTAGTCACTCAGTGCCGCTCCAGTGTTCTTCAGAGCCATAGCGTACCCGGAATGGCCGGCGGCGAAGGCATTCCGAGCAACTACCGCATTTTTCATCAAGTTCTTCCTGTCTTTACAGCGAGCCACCGATTCTTCATTATCTATTTTCGACTGCGCACAACCCATTTAGGAAGTACTCCGGATTTGTTAGAGAGAAAAAGGCCTTCGCTTTGAGAAAATGAAGAGATGAAGTTATTATATCATGCTAAAAAGATGAGCTTTCAAACAACAACGGCTTTTTGGCCGAAGCAAAAAACAACATCAACGGCTTGAAGATCTTGAGGGAAGGCTGGGGAGAGGAAAAAAGGGCTTGTTGTCCCAGAAAGCGGATGCGTGAGGCTAGCTGGGCATTGTGTCAAGCACAAAGGGAGAGTGAGATACAGCCAAGAAGCGGTACGGGGATGATGAGAGCAGCAGGAGCAGTGCGGAGAACAGAAATTTGCGCAGTCGCGGAGAGTAGAAAATTGAAGGTACTCGCGACATTTGACGACTAGGTGTCTTGTCGACATATTTTAAAACAACGGTCACATTTTTTTAGGCACGATACAGAGCACACCGGAGTTTGAGCCCGAGGGCATTTCCGACTCTTTGTGAACGTTCACTAGATTTTTAGGAGTTGGTAATGCATTGATTGCATTCTGTGAAAATCGTAAATAATTAAATACTAGTAATCATTAAAACTATAAAAGCAAAATAATAAAATAAAAAAAATTAGAAAATAGTTTAAAAAGAATAATTATTGAAGAAACAAATAGTAAATAGCAAAACCAAAATAATCAATAGTTAAATAAAAATAATCACATACTATTAAAATATGTTTTGATCACCCTTTGAATATGAAAAAATATATTGAAAGTGTAAAAAGTGAGTTGTGGTGGTGTGGTCAAGATGGAGCTTTGCTTGGATTTTTTTTTTTTCCCATTTAGCTTCTGAAATAAATGCTCAGTAGAGCATATGTCAATTTTTCTAGCTTTTGCTTTTACCAACGTCGGGAGAAGATAAAAAACAAAAATAACAGTATTTATCTATGTCTTATCTTGACTCGATAATTTGATTTTTTTATAAGAAGAAAAAAGTAACTAATAAAATTTAATTAAATTAATTTAATTATTTTTTTCTGAAATTTATCAAATTGTATATGTATGATTATTATATCTGTCCCTTAATATAAAATTCTAATAGATTAATTTAAACAGATTAAAAAAGCTAAATAAATTACTTAATTATATTATACGTTTTCTGATGTCTCCAAAATATTTATGTGCATCGTTGTATTATATATTAGTTTATAAGTAAAGCAAATTAGTTTGAAGAAAAATAATAAACATAAATATTTTATAGTAATTTATTTAATTTTTTTAATTTTATCAAATTAGTTAACTGAGTCTCGTATAAAAACTCATACATTTTTCAGTCATTTTATATTTAAACTTACTTTTTTATTATCTATTTAGACAATTTTTAACTTTTCAAATTGATTTCTTAAAAATACCAACCCAACTATAAATAAGGGAAAATTAATATTTCATACTTTTAACTTTTTATAATTCAACCTTTCAACTATGACTCGATACGAGTCGGCCGCTTAACTTTTGACTCGCATGTAACTCAAGCCGTCATCTCTTTATTACTTAATATTATTGTCCATTTTATCTCCCGACTCACCCTACATGTCAAAAACAACTAATATAACTGCACAAGTCAGCACCAGGCGGGTCAAAATAGCTTCCATATCAGCTTTCTCCAATTGATCCTCTCCTCTCGATCTGAGTGTTATTGTCGGCCATGGATATTCGAGCGGTGATGACGGAAGAAAGAGAGCACAGGGCATAGGAGGAGACTCACTCCTCCACTGATGAGAGAGACCCAGGCCTCACCGCCTTGCTCCTCAGAAGTGTGGTACGAAGAAGCAGCTTCAACACATGGCTTCTCATGATATATGTTACCATATCCAGTTTAATTCTAATACTTTCAGAAGACCCAAGCATTATCTGCCGCTTACTATTATGAAAAAAAACACCATCCTAGCGTGCATCCCATTTTCCCAGTACCAACCAGTGTTCACAGTAGCACTTCAAGGATATATTTGAGTCGATGATGAGGGTGGCAAAGGCCCCCTTGAAAATGTGAATCACCTCACCATGGGATGATGAGAAAAGAAAGCAAAAAGCTTATGGGAAGTGCTGAAAGAAAGATAAACAGCATCTGCTTTAATGTTTTTGGGTGTGTTTGGATGAAATCAAACCGTGGTTTAGAAAAATGATTCTGGAGAATAGATTCTGAGAAGAATAGATTTTGGAAAGAATAGATTTTATGAAAAAGTAATTTTGAGAAGTGAGAGTGTTTGGATAGTTGTTATCAGAAGCACTTTTTATATATACAAATTACTAAAAAATACTTAAGTTAATATGATAATTACAGAAAAATAGATTTTATGATATATTTTAATTTAAAGGAATAAAATTATTAATAATATATTTTTTATTAACATAATTAATAATACATAAGATAATATAATTAATAAATAATTAATATGTATATATATTTATAAAATATAAGATTAAATATGTTTATAAAAAATACGTTTATAAAAAAAATAACAAGATACATATCTATAGGCTCTCACACTCTCCTTTTTTTCTTTAAAACAAAATTTTTTGCTTTTTCCAAAACCATGGTTTTGGTTTTGGGTGGGGGTGTTGGGTGATTTATTCCCCAAACCATGGTTTGGGATGTCACCCAAACACGGCCTTTAATTATTAATCATTTTCTATCATGTTGAACTTGACTTGAAAAATTAGCCATTACAAAATAAGTGTACCCAGAAATAAATATCATATAACACAATCATCGTCAATTTTATTTTTCTTTCAAATAATATGAGTAACTTGTAATACTAAACTGCAATCTTTTTTATGGACTGAAAAAAGAGGAAATAATGAATCCACATCCTTATCATCGGACTCAAATCCATATCATCGATCTGAGAACCACAGTGGCGAGGTCTGAGCCTTTCTTGTCGGTGGAGGAGTGAGTTTCTTGACAACAGTTTTTTTATTATATCAGATTAATATAATTCAATTTGGATTTTTTTTTTGGTTTACACTGCCCGGTAATCCGGTGCTTATTAACAACCGACTAATCCAGAATCGAGGGATAGGAGTACCACCTACATAGGTGGGACTGGGATTCAAGCACGCGTTCTCATTCTTATGGAGGCGAATCCATTTACCAGTTTGACCAACTGCTTGTTGGTTAATTTTGAGTCTTTAAGGGGGTGTTTGGCATCACATAAAAATGTTTCTGAAAAGCATTTTTCTCAAATCGATGCAAAACTCATATTTATTCGTTATAATATATTTAAAATAATTATATTTTGTTAAAACAGATTTTTATAAAAATAAGTTACCCTTAAATTTCAAATAATAAGCTTACCCTTGTTGGATGGAAAGAAAAATTAAGAGGAAAGAAAATGAGAGGAGAGAAAATAGAAAGAAGAGAAAATATTATTACCTCTTATGTTTGGATGACAAGAGAAAACAGAAAGGAAAAAAATAAGTAAATATACGAATGACTAAAATACCATTTCTGGTACATCAAAATATATCTCTATTAAAATTAAATTAAATATCATAATGAAAAACCATATTTACATTAACATAATCATATAATTTAAAATCAAATTATTTGATAAAGACATATTATCATGTTATTATATTTTAATATCAAATAATTTTGTAAAAAAAGGAAAAAAAAACATTTTGTGCAATGTAATGCTAAAAAAACCAAAACAAAAACTCATTTTTCCTTTCAATTCATCTTAGAAGGATTTTTGCAATTTAGTTATTTTATTTTCAACCAAACAAACACAGAAGAAATACTTGATAATAATAAATAAATTAAAAAAATAAAAAAAATAAATAGGGATTATGTTGCTAAGAAAAAATATGCAAGGATAGAAAAAAAATATATTTCTTTTTATTTTCTCTCCATATATGGAGAGAAAAGTTGGGAGGAAAATGGGCTGCGGACCCACCTCGTTTTCTTCCCAACTTTTATTTCTTCCACTTTTCCTTCCTCATTCAAATAAGGAAAAAAATCACTTGTCCTCCTATTTTCCTTCATAGTTTTATTTTCTCTTTCATTTTCTCTCCACCCAAACATAATATTAATGTCTCAAAAAATAAAATAATATAAATCTTTATTAAATTATAAAAATTAATATTTTAAATAAAAGCATTTGAAGAACCAAAACCTACTTAAAATTTGAAAAATAAAAAAAACACCCCCTTATATATGCATTGACGAAAAGTTAGATGGATTTTTGTACCTTCCGTCAATTTCAATTTGAAGAGTGAACTGCCGCCATTGCAGAACCGTTCCCTCCTTAATCGGCTGAACTGGAGACGCTCGACATGAGGACTCAAGGGGTTAGCGGCGTCCTCGGTGGGACTCTCGCGCCTAGACGACGGCGAAGAAGGGCCTAGCTTTTCTGCATACTTTCGTGGAATTCCACCTCGTCCACCATGGCCTCTGGTTCGCCTAGGGACCGTATCGATCAGGTCTTTCTCTTTGCATCAGGAGCTTGCAAACCCTCGATGCCGTTCTTTGCGCGCATGTACACACAGCTTTTCTGCATACTCTTCTTGGTTTTATTTCATCCACCATGGCCTCTGGTTCGCCTAGGGACCGTATCGATCAGGTCTTTCTCTTTGCATCAGGAGCTTGCAAACCCTCGATGCCGTTCCTTTGCGCATTGTATCACACAAGTTCCGATTTCTTCTTGGTTTTATTTGGCATCACGAACGAAACCAACAATTTGAGTTATGTATGAAATTTGGTGCAAAGAAGAAAAATTTATCCCTCTGGCTGACTACAAAAGTTGTTGGAAAAGATGCATGAGTTATCTCTAATGTTTCCGTTTGGGGGCCAAGAAATGGACTGAAACCACGTGGGTTCGAAAATTCAGAACTCAACGTGCAAACAAATCCGGCTTACATATTTGGGGACCAAGAAAAATAAGTCTTTCAATAATCTTTGCTTAGCCTGTGTCCCAAGAATCGTGCTTGACAGTAGCTTCGAATACACTCTTACGAACTCAATGGGTTACTTCTTGATGTTGTTGTTGATTTATGTATGCAGTTTTTCGTTTCAAAGAAAAGGAAAGCCGAGTCACCTGTTTCTAAGCATGGAAGATCTGAAAAGGGTGGAAGAACTACTGTCGATGGTTCTCCGAGTGCTAAAGGTACCCTGGACAGTTACCTGGTTTCTTCGCAGGAAAATTCCAGTGCTGCTAGGCTGTCATACACTCCCACCGATCCTTCGGCTAGGGCGGATGCAGTCAAAAGAAGTCTGGCACCTATGATTAATAGTTCTTTTGACAATGAACGTAAGCAGCTTGTTCCGCCTGCTCAAATTCATCAATACTCTCAAGCAACTCAGAAGGGACTAACAAATGATTTACCCAAGGCGAGTGATGAAGCAGTTGAAAAACCTGCCCGAGAAAATAACGCAGATAGCAGACAGGGAGAGCGTAAACAGTTTGCAGCAGACTTTTTGTCGCTGTATTGTAGGTAACTTCTCCACACATATCAGAAAGGTTTGATTTGTTTGACGGTGACAATATTTTGTTGACGTATCGGTCCAATTATCACCCTTTTTCTCAAAGTTTACTCTCGCTCTCATTCTCTCTCTCTGTTTTCTTTTTTCTTTTTGGTTAAATCTATGCAACTTGCAGTGGATTACGCAGCATTAATTCTCCTTTAGAGGTGAAGGAAGATGACTCTAAGAGAAACAATGCTTTAACATTCTCGGAGGTGAAGAGTAGTTTGCTCCAGAAGTGTAATGATGCCAATAATGAATCCCCTTCTGGTGATGAAAACCTTTTCACTGTTGACAAAAACCCTGACAACATCAATCCTGATGCTGCTGGTATTTCTTCAGCGTTTGTCTCTGGCAGTAACACAGAGGTTAGATCAAGTTCAAAATTAATTTGGTTTTTGTAGCCAGGTTCTCATTGCAACTTTTTTGAGATTTTTAATGTCATGCTTTCCGAGCAGCAGGTTTACACTGGTGACGATAATAATGCTCTGGACAGAAGCTTTAAAAGATGTAATTATACACCTAAATCATCTGTGAATATGAATAAATGCTTCACACCAGGATCCTTGGTTGTTAAAGATTGCGTTAAGGAGACCCCAAAGTCAACACGTGGGAGCTCAATGTTTTCGCCTGGGGAGGCATTTTGGGATGAAGCAATTCAACTAGCTGATGGTTTGTGTGCTCCCAGAACTTATAATTCTTGTGAGGCTGGTGGACATAATGAGATGGCAGAAGACCAAGTTTGTGAGAAGAATTCATGTAATTTACAAAACAACGAGGGCAAGCCAAGCAAAATATTGCGTCAGAGTCCAAGCAGAGGTGAGAATTTGGAAAGTGTTACTCCTTTTGGGTTGGTTGGGATGCATGGAAAAGATTCTGTGAAAGAAGTGTCCGGCCTGCCTGTTAAGCATTTTGATTTTTCATTTGAGGACACTAATTTGGATGAGAATTCTCCACAACAATGTGGTGCTGGCGATCTGATCAGCATAACTCATGAGGGTCACAGACAGTATGAAATAGGTTCCGTCAACACTAAAAAAGTGAACTTTACCAAGAACTTCACTGTAGTTGGGACACTTCATACAGATGGAATAACGAATGAAGTGCAGGAGAAGGCTTCAGTCCATGCTGCAAGCAGGGAAGTGAATTTACCAAGCCAGCATGATGATATTCTGACATCTAATTCAGCCCGTACTCATTCATCTGATGAAACCAGCACTCCTTCGAGCAATATGTTTTTTCATGATCGTTTAGACCTTAACAGGTGGCTTCCACCTGAAATATGCAGCATATATAGGAAAAAAGGAATCTCAAAGCTATATAAGTGGCAGGTATATTTGCATTTTTAGAGTGTAGGTTCTGCGCATTTTAGCAGTGGACCATTTTCGATTTATATAATTTATTTGACCCCTCTGCCCAAAAATTTGCTGCCTGCCCCTTTACTGCATTTTTTCCTGCTCAAAGTTCTTTCGGTTTGATGTTTAATTGACAATTCTATTTTATTTTTCTGTATTTTAGGTTGATTGCCTTCAGGTGGATGGTGTCTTGCAGAGAAGAAATCTGGTATATTGTGCTTCTACAAGGTATTCTCCCATTTGACTGGAAATTACAGCAAACCCTGAGTAGTTTTTGTGTTATCTTCAGTTTTATGCAGGTAAAAGAATTAGATCAGACATAGATTCGAGGAGTAGGATGGGATTTGGTGATGTTAACCAGAATTTTGGCTTACACACTTATGCTGTCTACTTTGGGACTAGGGGCAGAATAATTTGTAATTATTTTATTGATAATTCCTTTTCTTGTGTTGAACATTTAATTAAGCTACCTGATGATTTGATATTCATTTCTTGTTCATTGTGCTGTTTCTTTTGTATTCTGCTCCATCTTTTCTCTATGTTATTTTCTTCTTCTTCTTCTTGTTTTTTTTTTGTCCTCCCCTTTTTCTGTTTGTCTCATGCTGCTCGTTCTTTTTTCTTGTCTCTTCTTTCTTGTTTTCTTTCTTTTCTTTTGGGGAGAGGGGTGAAGAAAGTTGGGGCGATGATTTTGATCTTTCTCATGTTTCTACAGTGCCGGGAAGAGTTTTGTTGCTGAGATTTTAATGCTACGGAGGGTGGTTTTGACGGGAAAAATGGCCATGCTTGTTCTTCCTTATGTGTCAATTTGTGCAGAAAAGGTTATCTTCTTTCCTTAAATATTTTTCAGATGGTGGGTTTTGTTTAAATGGTTCTTTATATATGTGTGCCCGTTTGCAGTATTCATGTTTAAGATATTAATAATTGTTTTAAATATGATAATGCATTTTCATTTTGACTTTGGCAGGCAGAACACCTTGAGCGTCTTCTTGAGCCGCTTGGCAAACATGTACGTAGTTATTATGGGAATCAAGGTGGTGGAACGCTTCCTAAAGATACTTCCGTAGCTGTATGCACAATAGAGAAGGCAAACTCCTTGATAAATAGATTATTGGAAGAGGGCCGTCTATCAGAAATGGGAGTTATTGTGATAGATGAACTACATATGGTATCTTTCATCATTGTTTTGTTGTTATTTGTCTGTTCATAAATTATTTTACAGGCTGTTTTCTGCTGACCTTTTATGGATTATTATGGTAGAGGAACTGCAAATGGTACTTCTTCTACCCCCCCCCCCCAATTCTGATGACATTATTTTTTTCGGAAAACTGTTCTTTAGATGTTTGCGATCATTTCTTTCTGTTGCTCCTTTGCCCCTTCAGAAAAAGGAAAAAACTGTCTCTTAATGATTTGATGGGATGGCTCTCATTCTTTTTCCTGACTTGTGTCTGATAACAGGTTGGGGATCCAAGTAGAGGTTATCTTCTAGAACTTATGTTGACAAAACTTCGTTATGCTGCTGGCGAAGGTCATTCAGAATCAAGTAGTGGAGAAAGTTCAGGTGGGAGCAGCAATAAAGCTGATCCTGCTCAAGGACTGCAGATGGTTGGAATGAGTGCAACAATGCCTAATGTTGCTGCAGTTGCTGATTGGCTTCAAGTAAGGATAATTGCAAGCATAAGTTTTTTTATGTACTGATGACCTGTATAGGTCTATTTTACGTTGGGAGGTCCATTTTTTAGTCCTCTTATGCTGCTGTGACTTCTGGTAGTGGATTTATTGGGATCTGTTTAAATTGATCCATTAGTCTGCAAAACATTTTGTATCCATCTGAATTTCACATTTTTCCCCTCAAAATTGAGCATTCCCTATTTTAGAAGCATATTTTGTGTTTAATACTGCTTGATCATGTATGACCTTCTCTGAGTTTTTGCGTTATTGTCTAGTAAATGAAAGTTATAGCTTCTACATTTCATTATTTATAGGACACAAGTGGACATTGCTATGGATTATATCATGTCATTTGATGTCTAACAGCAATGAAAACAACAAGCAATCTTATCCCACTAGGTGGGATTAGTTACATGAATCGCATAACACCTGTATACTCTATCAATGAACAAATCTTTGTGTAAATTGTTTTATAGCCGGCCCTAAGCTCGGATAAAGGAGAAGAGTTGTGTTGGGCTCTCAATAACTAACACAAAACTCTGTCCAATCTTTGTGGCATTTGATGTCTAATTCTAATATGGTACACAAATTTAATTAAAAATTGTTGATCAGGAAAGGGTTGGTTGGTGAATGTTTGAAATGCTCTATAATCTTTATGAGTTTGGCAATCAGGTGATCAGAAAGTGCTTAGTGTAAAGATGATTTATTATTATGAATCCTGAAAAGTGTTGTAGACTACAGATGGGAGATAACGTCGGGTGGCAACCCATGAAGTGATGAGCATATTTGTATCTTCTTGTTAAGAATGGCATAGACTCTGTAGGTCTTTAATACATTTACTTCTTCAAGCTTTGTATTCTCTTTTTCAAATGAAATGTTTGGTTGTTGTGTTTTAAATTGACTCATTTCTAAAATTGCCACCTTGGCACACATTTAAACCCATTTCTCAAATACTTTCATGAAGGCAGCACTATATCAGACTGAGTTTCGACCAGTTCCCTTAGAAGAATATATTAAGGTTGGTAATTGCATCTATAACAAGAGAATGGAACTTGTTAGAACAGTCTCAAAAGCAGCTGACCTTGGTGGTAGAGATCCTGATCATGTTGTTGAACTGTGTAATGAGGTGTGCTTCAATGTCTTACTGCTATTTGTTTTGTTTTGGAAAGCTAAATCTGACTGCGGATAGATTTGCATACTATCAGGTTGTTCAAGAGGGACATTCAGTGTTGATATTTTGCTCCAGCAGAAAGGGATGTGAATCAACTGCAAAGCATGTGGCAAAGTTCCTTAACAAGTTTACTGTTGACATTCACAAAAGTGATTGTGAGTTTGCTGATATTACGTCAGCTATTGACTCTTTGAGAAAATGCCCGGGTGGGTTGGACCCCATACTGGAGGAAACAGTTCCTTCTGGTGTTGCATTTCACCATGCTGGACTCACGGTATTTCATTCTTTCTTTTTTGGTTTTATGGCTTCTATTCACAAATGCTATCATGAATTTTGTTCATTGAAGCTCATCTTTGATAACTGGTTTTGATTTATTCATTACATGCATGAAAATGCTGTAATACCTACCTACCTCTTATGGTTTGGGCTATTTTTTGGTGCTGCTTTTATAGGTTGAGGAAAGAGAGATTATTGAAACTTGTTACCGCAGAGGCCTTCTGCGTGTTTTAACTGCTACATCAACCTTAGCAGCTGGAGTTAACTTGCCAGCCAGGCGGGTCATTTTTCGCCAGCCCAGAATTGGTCGTGATTTTATTGATGGGACGAGGTACAAGCAGATGGCTGGTCGGGCTGGTCGCACTGGAATTGATACAAAAGGAGAAAGTGTACGTCTTATTATCTTGTCTAGTACTAAATGGGTACCTTATATGTTTTCATCCAGGTTGACATACTGATTGTTCTGGAGGGTTTTGTGCATATATGCTATTGTTTTATTTTTTGTAGGTTTTTTTTACATAAATAGTATATGCCTATATCTGGCTTATCTGCTGATGACATTGCTTGCAGGGTTGTGTTAATTTATTCCTTCACGCTATCAAATTTTGATTATCTTTGTAGGTACTCATCTGCAAATCAGAAGAAATAAAAAAAGTTATGGGACTTCTTAATGAAAATTGTCCACCATTACATTCGTGTTTGTCTGAAGATATCAATGGAATGACTCATGCAATCCTTGAAGTTGTGGCTGGAGGAACGGTTCAAACTGCTAATGATATTCATCGTTATGTTCGATGCACTCTTCTGAACTCCACAAGACCATTTCAAGATGTGGTGAAATCAGCGCAAGAATCCCTTAGGTGGCTGTGCCAAAGAAAATTCGTTGAATGGAATGAAGAAACCAAACTTTACAGTACCACACCTCTTGGACGGGCAGCCTTTGGCAGTTCTCTCTGTCCTGAAGAATCACTTGTAAGTACTTCAATCTATTTTATTTTTACTGCTGTTGAGAATTTTTGTCCAGTCAGCTTTGTCTATTACAACTTGTTTAGCTCTACTTTTGTACCTGATTTTTCAAATTGAGGCAGCTGACTTTTGGCAGTTTTTGGATAATCGTGCTGTGATTGACATAACTATACTTTTTAATTGATTTCTTAGATTGTGCTAGCTGACCTTTCAAGGGCACGGGAAGGATTTATCCTTGCATCAGACTTGCATTTAGTTTACTTGGTGACACCAATCAATGTTGATGTTGAGCCAGATTGGGAACTGTACTATGAGCGTTTTCTGCAGCTGTCTCCACTTGATCAGGTGCATGCTTCTTAGTAACCTGATCTTTTCTCCCCTTCCTTGCTTTGCAATGCAAAACTTTAGATGTTGTAAACCGATGTTTTGGGTCAAGCTTATCTAGCTGAAGAAGCCGCCCTTCTTTCATAAAATGACTTATTTTGAAATTTTAACTTTTGGCAGAACTATTTTTGCAAGAAAAATGAGCGCTTACCAAATTGTGGTCGAAACAGCATCAGTTCCCCCCCCCCTCTTTTGGGGCTGTGGGAAGGAAGCAGAGGGTTGTAGCTACTCCTTCAAATTATAAAAAGGGAGCATAACATTATTGTTTTAATGCCAGAAGTATCACCTATCAAAATCATTAATTATTTTATGATTTTTTTTTTATCCTTTTTACTGATCCATTATAAGACGTGCCCTTTTAAGTAATTTGTTAGTCAACTACACTTTCTTTGCAATAATTGCCAAATACAATAATATTGATAAAAACGGTTAACAAATGGCTTTGCTGAACACAGACTGCTCCGTTCTTACAGTTTTTCAAAAATGAAAATCCGTTTTAAATAAATTAAGAAGGCAATCTCTCAAATAGATACATCATTAAAATGGTAATCCCTCAAATAGATACATCATTTTTGTGTTCTCTCCTTTATGTATCCATTTACTGTTTGAATTGTGTTCCCCTTATTGGAAGAATCACTTGATGTGTTATACTTGCTTGTGTATATTTGCTTTTATTATGGAATGCTCTATCATATTTTAAATGTGGTTAGTTAATTATGGAATGCCTTACCATATTTCAAATACGATTAGTTAATGTATTATATTATCATTGCAGTCAGTAGGCAATCGAGTGGGTGTGACAGAACCATTCTTGATGCGCATGGCTCATGGCGCACCAGTATCCACTTCAAACAAGTCAAGAGACACTACAAAATGGATGCGCCGTAAACAAGGAAATCAAATTGCGATATCCCATGGAACAGCTAACTCAGATGATCACACACTTCGTGTGTGTAAAAGATTCTATGTTGCTCTTATTTTGTCAAGACTAGTTCAGGTGCATTTCTCTCACATTAATGCAAATTTCTCCTGATAAGAGAGACTTTTGAATGTTTCATATCTTTAACCTTTTGGATTACATTTTTTTTAATGGATGGATTACGTATTTAATATCTTAGAACTCTTATCCAACTATCCAACTAGATATTTGGTTGAATATATGTATATATCTGTTACAAAAATAATATTTATTTTCTGTTATTTTGGTATTTCCTTTTGTCTTCCTCATTTTTCTTCTCCTTTTGCTCCAGTTCTTCTTCTCTGTCCCCTCACAGTAGCACTGTGTTTTTTCAAAAATATTATTTGTTTAAATTAATATTTTAGTCCCTTAAGTTTTTAATTCCTTTGATTGGTTGTCTTTTTAAGTTTGTTTCCTGCCAATTTGTCCGTTAAATTGTAAATTTTGTATCCTTAAACATTAGCTTCATCCCCTTTTCACAATATTATACACACAATCCTAGCATGCGTGTTTGATTCTCTAGGTTCAAATACTTCTTGGTACCATCAGTTTATGAGGTTTTCCTCTGATTGTGTCCCCTGTACCTTTGGTCTAAATGTTGGGAGTATTTATTTTACTGACCTATTCGATTATATTTTATTTTCATCTGGTGTGGCCTTGAGCACTTGAGCTTATAGTTTTGTGGAAAAATTATGATTTCATGAAGGAAACACCTGTCAGTGAGGTTTGTGAAGCGTTTAAAGTTGCCAGAGGAATGGTTCAAGCCTTGCAAGAGAATGCTGGAAGGTTTGCATCAATGGTTTCTGTGTTCTGTGAGAGGCTTGGATGGCATGATCTTGAAGGCTTGGTTGCCAAGTTTCAAAATCGTGTATCATTTGGAGTCAGAGCAGAGATTGTAGAGCTTACCACTATTCCATATGTTAAGGTAAGTAAGCTCAACTCATGTGGTTTGACAGTATTGCATAATTTTGCTTTGCTGTCAATATTAGCTTGTATTTCTACTTGAATCTGTTTCATGCTGCTCTTGTTCCATTTGCAGGGTTCTCGGGCCAGAGCACTCTATAAAGCAGGTTTACGTACACCTCTTGCAATTGCTGAAGCATCCATTCCTGAAATAGTAAAAGCACTATTTGAATCTGCATCATGGGCCTCTGGTGGTAATATAATAGTAATATTGAGTGAAGTCTTTGTTTTGGTTAAGGATGAGTTTATATTGTTGACATTTGCTCCTTGAAATTATTAATGATAGACTTGGCACAAAAATCACTGGATTAAAAACTCATGCTTCTATTGTTCTTAACTGCTGCCAGCCATTGGTTATTTCACCTTTCAATCTCATTTTTATTATAACAAACTCCACTTTAGACCATCCCTATGACCAGCTTTTACCTTTTACAATGTACTGAGTTCCACCAGTAACACTATAATTTTACTTGGTTCAATTTTTATTTTCCCCCCTCCATGATTCAAACCATCATGTGTAACTTATCTTTCATTTTAATTCTTAAATTATTCTTTGAATTCAGTAATACTATTTGTGTGATTAGTTGTAGCTTCTTTGGATTTTTTAGTTCTTGCCTTCTAATTCCTCTATATTTCTATGCACCCTTTTGTAACCTGAGTATATTTTTCTGTTTTTAATAAGTATATTTTTCTTATAAAGATTTTATTTTATTCCTTTGGAAGGTTCTGCACAAAGGCGTGTACAAGTTGGTGTAGCCAAGAAGATAAAGAATGGTGCTCGTAAGATTGTTCTTGATAAAGCTGAAGAGGCAAGGGTTGCTGCCTTTTTAGCCTTTAAATCACTTGGCTACGATGTCCCACAGTTTGCTCCCCCAGTGTTGTCCCCTCTTGCTTCTGATTCTAATGGGCAAGGAGCAGGGGGTACCTCCTCTGGAAGTGATGCAGCTGATTCTAATAATAGCTTTATTGATGCAGACCACATGGAAACTTCTGATCAGGGTCATTTAGAAAATGAGAGAGAAGATGTAAAAAAATCATCTTGCAATGGTGGTCACGCAGAAGAAAAATCAAGAAGTGCAATGCGATGTAATGTTTCTACTGAAAAGTTTTTAGTTTCAGTTGAGGACTCTCTGAGGGGTGGGGTCAATGGTACTTTTAAATCCACTGAAGATACGGTTGCTGCCACCACCAATAATTTACCGAAACCAAATGATCATACTGGGCTCCATGATAGATGTCTTTCTCATGGTATAGAGAAACAATATTTGAAGGAAAATATGGCTATTGTTAAAATGGATAACCCGTGCCAGAGAGGTCCTATCAATGCAGCATGTAGTCCTGGTGGGTTTGATTCATTTTTGGATATATGGGACAGTACACCAGAATTCTACTTTGATATCCACTACAACAAGCGGTTGGAACTGAACTCTGCTGCCCCTTTTGAAATACATGGCATAGCCATCTGTTGGGAAAATTCTCCTGTGTACTATATTAATCTTCCCAAGGATCTTCTGTGGATTGGTGATAGGGGAGATGATAACATTTCCTTGAGTGCATTCGGTAATAAACATAAGGTTTCATCTTCTAAGACTGACTTGGAGATCGCTAGGCATAGATGGAGCATGATTTGTAAAATTATGGGGAAAAGAGATGCCAGGAAGTTCTCCTGGAATTTGAAGACTCAGATTCAGGTGCTTAAAAGGCCTGCAGTTTCAGTTCAGAGATTTGGCTGCCTGGATAACATTGACAAGAATATGGACCTTTCTGTTGTAGACAATTCACACGTATTATTGCCCCCTATCCATGTTAAAGATGCAATTGACTTGTGCATCACGTCTTGGATTCTCTGGCCTGATGAAGAGAGGAGCGCCAACCCAAATCTGGAGAAGGTAGAAATAAACAAGCAGTAATGTAGAACCAGTAGGGAAAGGGAAGAAATGAAGATATCTAGAGGGAGAGGGGAAAGATTAGTGGATCATATGAGCAATATCCTGGTACTTTATTTCGTTGCTAAAACTGAGAGATGATTAGGGGGAGCCAATTCAAACCCCTTCGGTAAAAGAAGAACATAAAGTCTACAACTGATGTTTTATAAGGAAAATGAACTTAAAACAATTAATTAGAGATTATAAGAGTGCTCGTGATCTAAGACTTGATATCTTAATCTGTGGTTGACAAATAATTACCCATATCATCATTTGAGAAATATGAATGCTTTAAAAAGACATTTTGGTATGTGGTGTTAACTAAAACAGGAAGTGAAGAAAAGATTATCCAGCGAGGATGTTGCAGCAGCTAATCGGAGTGGAAGATGGAAGAATCAGATGCGTAGAGCCGCACATAATGGGTGCTGCCGTCGGGCAGCACAAATGCGAGCCTTATGTTCTGTTCTATGGAAATTACTTGTTTCTGAAGGGCTTGTTGGAGTGCTTATGAGCATAGAAATCCCTTTGGTGAGAGTTCATGAAGCTGATACTCTTGGATAGAAACGTATTGTTCCTGACGTGTTCAACACTCTAAGACACACCACTTCTTGTGTTTGATGCATGTTTATGCTTGCGAAAGTGAAATATAATATTGAACGGTTTTCAACTTACCTAGGACATCTTTTGCTGATGGATGCTCTGGAAACATCTTGTGCATACATGTGACTTGATGCATCTTTGGCATTTTCGTTGTTTTTGGTAATTTTTTTCCTAGGGAGATGCAGCACCTTTAACAAGCATAAAGATGAAGGATCATCAAAGCTAATTTATTGTTTATCCTAGTTGACTGTATTTCTAACTTTGATGAATTATTGTCATGTTTAACTTGTGAAATGGGCAACATGTCATAATTTCATGCCTATTGCCTTTAATGAAATCACAATTTCTGTTGTATTGTGCTTCGGTTTTATTTCATCTATATTTAGCAATTAATGATGGGACACTAATTCGGAAGTTGTTGCCCTAGCCTACAGACCCTATTTAAAGCCCCCTTGCTTGTTTACTTCGTTTCTTGAATTGGTTGCATGTGTGAGATATCTGATGGTACTTTATACACTACACTTGTTTATCAGGTAAATGTTCTTGCTGACATGGAATGCTGGGGAATTGGTGTTGACTTGGAGAGATGCATCCAGGCTCGTAAATTGTTGGCAAGGAGACTAAGGTATCTTGAGAAAGAAGCTTATAGGCTGGCTGGGAGGACTTTTTCATTGCATATGCCGGCAGATATTGCAAATGTACTATATGAACACCTGAAGCTGCCCGTACCTAGTGGGAGCAATAAAGGAAAGCAACATTTGAGTACTGATAAGCATTGTTTGGACGCGCTAAGGTACCATTTTGACGGGTTATCTTATCATTTTTTGTGTCTCATAATCCATAGTTGATAACAATAGTGGTCATACTGAGGACTCTTCGTAAGGAAGAAGGTGAAAATATATAGAGAAACATAGGGCAATAATCTTGTCGTTCGGTCCCTGAAATTCAGCTAATAAAGCCAGCACAAAGGCAACGAAAACCAAGAGTCTAAAGAAGGAAAATGGATGTTGACTGGCTACAATAAATGACATGGTCAGACAACATAAAAAACGTAGAAATAAATACCTGGTTACAATTAAAAAATTAAGGAAAAAGAACAGGAAATAAAACATTTAACTTGTGAAACACAGGGGGAATAGGACTTGGGAAATTTCCATTGTCTTCTTTGTTTGGAATTTGTTTTTTAGGGAGATAGATTGTATTTCAGGCATGAGCATCCCATTGTTCCAGTCATCAAAGAGTATCGTATGTTGGCAAAGCTCTTAAACTCCACTCTGGGGTCTATATGCTCACTGGCTAGGCTATCTGTAAGCACACAGAAGTACACGTTACATGGTCATTGGCTCCAGACGTCCACAGCAACTGGTCGGCTGTCAATGGAAGAACCTAATCTTCAGGTTTAAATTCTGAATTACTGCATGCTTTTGTTTGTTTCCCCGGTTGTTTGTAAGGTTTAACAGTATGTGCGGTTCTTGTTGAGTTATGCAGTGTGTCGAGCATGAGGTGGAATTCAACATGGAAGAGGATAAAAATGGAGGTGATGCTGATGATCATCACTACGTTGTTAATGCTCGTGATTTCTTTATCCCCACTCAGGTGATTGGTTTTTAACTGGCACCTTGGATTTCTTCTGTGCATGACTTCTTACATTAACTAGGGTAGTCTCTTGGCGTCCTATCATCACTTTAAAATCAACAAAATCGATTCTTCTTTTTCTCCTCCTCTCGTTCTTGTTGCATGGGGTACTCTACAGAGCTGATTCCTTATCCCTTGTATTTTTTGCTCCAAGTAGAAATAATAATTCCTAAATAGACCGAAACATTAGTAATATTAAATAATACTCGAGAACAAAGCTAACTGAATACTCTAAAATCAATTTTTGCGAAAGTTATTTTTTTGTAAAACCAGAATTTCAGCATAATTAATTAGAAGATCCATTTTTTCATTTATATATATATGCCTCCCCGCCCCCAGATCCTTTTTTCCAATCCCATATATGAAAGAGCAATGAACAAGAAACAATCATGAAAGTGAAGCTAGTTCTATACAATCTGAGAGCTACCCAGGTTTTCTTTTCTTTCTCCAAAAAATTCCTTAAAACTGTGAAAACAAAATACCAAGTCATCAAACAGATGCCCTCATGTTCTATGGTTGTCAGCGTATGTTTCATTTTCTTCTTTCTCTCTTCTTCCCCAAAAAACTTTTCACTTTAAATTCAAAAATTATCTGAAATTTTTAATCTATCTCTTATCGTCCTTGCAGCCTTCAGTCTTATATATCATATAAGTTAAATGCACTTCCATTGTCCTAAACGTTCCAACATATATAATAATTTTATTCAATGCTTTGTACTATATTTTATTTTTTTAACAATTTAAATTTTTTTTTGGAAAAATTCATTTACATGTGCATCTGCAGAGTTGAAACTACTTTAGTTTACATTCAAAATTTAAAATAACATGAAAAACCAAACCTTTAAGAATAAATATAATTACTAAGCCGTAAAATAATATTGAATTTTCTAAAATCACCTACGCCTAGCAGAAGTCTTAACTTTTCCATTGCTAATTTGATATATCATACTCTTTTTTGCTAAGGTGTAGCATCAACTAGTAATTAACCCCGACACTCAAATTACATTATGCCATTCTTATCATAATCATTTTTCTTTGTTTTATCGTCTTAATATATAAATTTCTAAAGCATATCTAACATGTTGCGCAATTCATAACTCTTCCCGTCTATTATTTCATTTCCACTATCTCTCAAGTCTCAAAAGGGCAAAGAAATTTTCTCTCTTTCACTCTTTCCTTGACTCCAGCACTGCTGAACATAGTGTTAGCTGTCTTGTTCGTTTTATTTGTCTAACTTCAATACATTAAGTTTGTCAGTTATATTCATGGTGAATTTCTATTTATTTGTTTTTTATTGCAGGAAGATTGGTTACTGTTAACAGCAGATTACTCTCAGGTAGAATTGAGGTTGATGGCTCACTTCTCAAAGGACTCTTCACTCGTTGAACTTCTCAGCAAACCTGATGGCGATGTCTTTACAATGATAGCAGCTAGATGGATTGGGTGTTCTGAGGATAGTGTGGGCTCCCATGAAAGAGATCAGACCAAAAGGATGGTGTATGGCATTCTTTATGGCATGGGTGCCAATAGCCTTGCAGAACAACTGGACTGCTCTCCCGTCGAAGCTGATGAAAAGATTAAAAACTTCAAAAGCTCTTTTCCTGGTGTTGCTTCTTGGCTTCAAGAAGCTGTTGCGTCTTGTCGTAGCAAAGGGTCTGGACTCCTTGTTTCAATTGTGCATATCATGTCTGACATATTTGCTTCCTCTAGCATTAATAGAATGATTATGTTATAAGCATTGAATGCTCTCTAGTTTAAGTAGTTATTTAAATTGTTGTGACCCTTTTTTAGTTTCTCTATGCAAGTCATTTTGAACGTTTGTTGCGCAAGCAAATGGTCATTGGCTTTATTCCTATACTATTATAGCATTTTTAATTATTTAAACGATGTGATTTATGATATCTCATTGGTCTTGTAATCCGTGTGTTTCTGCTAAAGTCGTGTTACTTGTGGGCCATATTTGGACTAACCATTTGTGAATGCATTTCCTAGATATGTGGAGACTCTCAAGGGAAGAAAACGATTTTTGTCAAAAATAAAATTTGGCGGCAGTAAAGAAAAATCAAAAGCTCAGAGGCAAGCTGTGAATTCCGTTTGTCAGGTATAACTTATTTTTTCCTGCCTGGGTAAGCATGCTTTTCCCTCAGAGCTTGCTAATGTTCATTATGTTCTTGTGTTTGGCTCCAGGGGTCTGCTGCTGACGTAATTAAGATTGCAATGTTAAGAATCTACTCTGTTATTGTCGATGACATTAATAGCCCAGGCTCCAGTTGCTCTTTGGCTACCAGGTTTCATATGCTTAGAGATCGGTGTCGCATTCTGTTACAGGTAACTTTAAGGATTATGCCCTCTCTATTTTTATTTGTTTGTTTTTCATTTTCTAAGCGACTGTTGTTCAGGTTCATGATGAATTGGTGCTGGAAGCTGATCCCTCGGTAATTAAGGAAGCTGCCCTGTTGTTGAAGGCTAGCATGGAGAATGCTGTCTCACTTCTTGGTTTGTATTCTATTTTATTTTTCATGTTGCTTTTTTTTTTTTTGGGTTGGAAAGAGGCTGGGTAAAAGAGGATGAGTTTCTCTGTTCATATGAAATTTAATGTTATGTATATACTTTGCAGTTCCTCTGCCCGTTAAACTTATGGTTGGGAGAACATGGGGATCTTTGGAGCCTTTGATACCTGATTGAGTTTAAAGACTAGTTCTTCAGGACAACAGGAAAATTCTTAAGACGTCGAGAAATGCAGCCACAGTAGATTGGCAGTGAAAGAAAAAGACTAGCAGGAAAACAGGAAAATTCTTTGGAGAGGATTGTTGTCTCTTAAGGGGAGGAAAGAACGATGCTGCGACTCTAGTGATCAATCATGGAGCGTCTGTCAGACAATCAGAGAAACGATTAATGAAGCAACAAGATGAGCTTCAATGCCCCGCATGCGCCAGTACTGTTATCACTCCTCTTCTTTTTCTTTTTTCTTTTTGCCAGAAATACCGTTGTCCCTCTTCAATTCATTCTTTTTAATAGAAAAATTAAATCTTGTAGAGTTCTTTTATGAAAGCTAATGTAAATGGAACAACTTATCTTCCATTTTGTAAAGTTAAGAACCACATAATTCATTTATCCATTTTGATATTTGCTTCAAAATTCAACATGCTCCCGTTTGTACCATTTTTTTTGGGAGAAAGGAAGGCTTTTTAGGTTCATGTTTATATCAAATAACAGAGACATCGACCCTATCTAACAACGCTGAAGAGCAATATAAGTTCGAAAGGCTAGAAGATTCCAATTGTAAATTCCTGCCAGAATAATTAGACAAAGGGATTAAAGTAATTTGATCGGAATTGAATTCTTGTAAGAAAATACATATATTCCCATAGTTAGGAGAAGGAAAGACTAACATTCACTATTTCACACGTGATCCATCACAATTACAAACTAACGATGCACAAACTGCTAGATGTGCGTAAAGGTAAATGACACAATGCCAAGTAAAAGGCTTGAGTTTTAGAGCTGATGTTTCCACAACGGCCTAGTTATTCATGGATGTCCCCTCTTAAATTTTCTACTTCGGAATCCACACAAGATGATCCTCAGGAAGGAAGTGGCAAACTGGAACAGTTCCTGGTTTAACATTTAGCACTTGGAAGGCCAAATGCTTTGGGTTCCATTGTGATGTGTCTTTGTGGCAGATTGCTACTGCTTTCACTTTGCTTCCGCCATCTTTACTCTGAAGAGGCACATAATAAGCTCTGGTGGTTTCTGTTTTGTGACAGTAAAACACAGCATATGGGTACTTGGTTAAATGGCACACAATGGCCTTTAGCCCTCTCATCTTTCTCACTCCAACTGTCATTATGTATTTCTGCATGTGGGTCTCCTTATCAACCTCCGTAGAGAGGGCCCACAAATCTTTCCCAAGCCTTGTGGTTGTGAATTCTACCATGGATTCCAGGGAAGTGGCACAGTACTTTTCCTCACCTCTGATGCCTGGCTCTTCACATTCCTTTATGGTATTCTTCAAAGTCTGAGCCTTCAAGGACCCAGGTTTGACAGATAGCTTGCTGAATATTTCTGGGATTTTGCTTGATGAAAAGGGTATTCTCTTGGCAACTTGTTGAGGCAAGAATTTGACTGAATTTTGTGTGGTCTTGGTGAAATGTAAGCTCAGTTCTTTGCCAGCATACATGTCCTTCTCCAAGAAGAACAAGGCTGTGTTTGGATCATGATGCAACTGAGTCTCAGTGGCAGCATAAAGGTACTGAAAGGGGTTCCCAACATCAACATATACAGGCTTTCCCTTGTGTCCAGCATTTACATTAACTCCTCCTTTTCCAACGTCCACGTTGGTGCCACCACCTCCCGCGTTTCCTGCATCAACGTTTACTCCACCATTCCCTACATCCACCGATGTGCTTTTGTCTTCTTTCAACTCTGCAAATATACTTGGGTTAATTAAGAGATAAATTTAGATCTTGCACTCTCACTTACATTTCCTTTTTGTTATCTACCTCTATGCCTTAATTATGATTTAGGAGTCCCTTCCATGCACGTCAGCATATTAGTCATCTTTGTTGGTAATTTTAGAGCTTGAAAAATCTTACAGTAACATGCATACCATACGTATTCTATGAGAATGAAATTTGCAAATACTTTATCTACTGATTGTGAAATTTTCAAAATGGTGCCCTTGAACACAAAAAACAAACCAGAATGCAGGAGATTCGTGATGGCCTTTGGCATTGGCGTAGTGGGAAGCTTGGACAACCAGTAGAGTTCAGAAGTGAAAGCAGCATCAGTTGCCACCATCACAAGCTGCATAATTTTCCCACAAACAACCTCATTAGCTCCTCAGGTCAAGAGCATTAACACAAACAAGTCAAGGACAAAATCAGACCAAAAGGAAGATTTAAAAATATATATATATAACGCAGCATTGCTAATTAAAGAAAATAGTTAGTTGAAGCTCACAGAGAGCAAAGCAAAGATGGGAAAGATTTGAAACTTCATATTGGAACAAGAAAGCTCGAACGAAATGCTTCTAGAGATGTAGCTTGAAGAAATGAAAATGAGGATGAGAGATGGAATGAAGAACCAAATGGCTTGCGGCCTTTATATAGAAATCTATAAAGGGAATGGTTTTTAAGGTTGGTTGTTTGAATAGTAACTGACCTCCAATTTCATCAATCAGTTAGAAGTTATAGCTTCAACTACCCCTCCCTCACTGACATAATTTATTGCTCTTGTCTAAGCTACGTGTTTCCTCCAGGGAGGGTTGTGAAGTCGTTTTTAAAGTGGGAAGGGCTTGTTTGGTTGAACACATGGCCCAAAAGCAAGCAAGCAAGCAGCAGTTAGTAGAAACAAGTTGAAGCTTTGGCCGAAGAAGGGTATGCCAGTGCCCTGGTTGGTTTTGATATGCTTAAAGGTCTCTATTAGTTAAGTTCTTTCTATTCAATTTTCTGAAACAGTCGCTATATGACTCTTTCAATGAACCAACCCCTCATTCTTCTTTTTCTACGCCTTCTTTATGCCGTGTCATTTCATGTTATGCATGGCCTTTTCATGCAAATTATATGACCAACTTAGCCCATAAGAATCAATATGAAGTGAACGTTGTGCGTTATTAATATTTCTCTGCCTAAAACCTTCAGTATAGAACAAGGAACTGAATATCTACCCATACGCACATAAAAAACGGGAATTTTGGCATATATTTCACAGGTATACAGGGGTACGTACAAAGAGAAAGCTAAGTATTCTAGTGAGGAAAAAAAAAACAGAGAGAGAGGGAAAGCTAAGCAATGATAAACAGCACGTGCGTGAATCACAATTACAATATACTGCCTCCAGTCCTTATAAGACCTTGTTTGTAAATTACAAACAAGGTCTTATAATTAGAATCGAAAATAATAGTTAAGTTAATTATTTCTATTAAATAGACATTGTATTTTTTAAAATGTCCTTACTAATCATGTTCATTAGTTAGAATATTTAACATATGTAACTACTAGAAGAACTACTTTAGAAAATAATGAATAAATATGAGAGACAAAATAAATTTGGATCTTATATTTAACATCAAATTTAATGTCAAACTATTTTTCATATTAAAAATCAGAAGAAGTAGTTCTAGTATTTGTCTTACCTATTTGTTGACTGGCGGTAGCCGGGCGCGGACATTTATAATCGATTCATTAATCACTATTGTATATCACAATCTTTGTGCTTCCACTATTGGGCTCGCGTCGTAGAAAGAGAAACATTTGATTGGGCCGTATTAGGATTCCGTGGTCTGGCCCAATTAAAGTTTGCCACACTAGTCTCAGGCCCATGGAGGCCTGTAAGTCAGATCAAGCTTTTTCTCTGTGTATCGGACTCGGTGTTGTATTTCTGGTGAAGATAGGGACAAAAGAATAGGCCTCCTAAATCCTAATTCCTAATTGCTAAACAAAACCTAGGATTGGTAAGGACTGGACCCTGTCGGAAACAAAGACAAAAGTCCCCTGGGGTCGCCCTCTGTGGCTTCCCTGTACGACACGTGTTGAGGCGGATGCCTGGATCCAAAATTTTTGGGTAAAACTAATGACTGCCCCAGACGAATCAGTGTCACAAGTAGCAGTGCGTGACGTAATTTAATTACTTGGGACTTGGCCTTCCTTCTCTTCTCTTGTGTCTGTCCATGTCCTGTTCGGCATTACTTCATTTTTAAGCTAATCATCATTCGTGATTACGACGCCTTAAAGCATTACTCTTGTTCGTAAAAGCTTTCAGGCTTCTCCATCAGCCTCACACGCAGATAACCCAAATCACATGGTTGAGTTAGGCCATATACCACACTAATCCAAACCAACCACCTCTCTTTCTCTCTTGTTTCTTGTTATGCTAACTCTGCTTGTCTATTATGGTAGATAATTTAACGCACTTATACTTAATCAATTAAATCTAAAATATCTAATCTCATCTTTAATACCACCTCCGGTCTTAATTTTGAGGAAATTAAGGAAAGAAGTTAAATTAGTTATTTGTAATAAATAGGTGTTGCCTTTCCTAAAATATCCTTACTAATCAACTATATTGGCTAGGACTACAATTATTAGAAGGACTGTCTTGAAAAAAATGCATAAATATGAGATAGACAAAGTGAATTGGGATTTTATATTTATAAACAAAATAGAAGTCAAACAAGATATTATATTAATAAGGATCGGAGGTAGTATAAAAACTAGTTGATAGTCGGATAGAGAATGTCTTAGTATAAATTGGTAAGACGATGTGTCTAATAAAGAGAGAGATTGCTAGCTGATATTATCCAGAAATACGAGGGTGTGCGTAATATATGTTGGTGATATTTGGGTACATAGGAAGGCTCGTTTTTGTTCCCTTTGTGGCTTCAACGAGCTGATCATTCATATTAAGTGGGATTCTCATTAAGAAAGTGAATGTCGGGATCAGGAAGGCTCTTCATTCGACACCTGGCAGATGCCCATCGGCGGGCCGGCTCGCTTAACGTGTAGCTGCCCTTTAATTAAATGGCTAATTTAATTTCAGGGTTATGCTTTTTAATTACGGAATACAGATAGAGAGAAGAAGTATATGACCCAAGCATCATCACGCACATGCAGCGAAAGCGAATTTTATCTGCTTAGTTAATATACTATCACAGACAAATATATTTGTTGACTCAATTAATTAATACTGTAATAATAGTACGAATATGAATTAGCCGGGGAAAATAATTAATGATAAAGGAAGAAAAGGGAGAGAGAAAAATGTGTAGTGGGCAGTAGGCACGCTTGGAAATTTGAGGAATAGTGGGACAATAAGGAGAGGAAATTTAGGTATCCAGCGCAACCTATTCCGTAAAGCCAGTAAGAAGTTTATAGAATACTCTTGATTAAGGCATCGGAGCATTAATTTAATTTTGCGAGACAAATTTGAACAAACCCTACATCTAATCATATGTTTTTGTCGTTGTTGGCAAAAAAAGTCATATGTTTTTGTCATTAAACTCAAGCTATATTGATATCTTCAAACACATTAATTAACTGATTGATTAGTTTAATCATGTGCACTGTGCAGTGCCAAACTCGCTCAATGACTATTGAAAGCAGGCAAGTATATATTAAGCATTGGTGATAAATAGGCGATCAGAGTATCATTATTTTCAATACCCGATCCATGATATCCCCAAGTGATTATATATCCAAAGTTCATTTAATTGTTTAAACGCAGATTATTCTCATGACATTAATCTATAATGTTTCCTTTCTATTATTAATAAAATACGTTAAGATAGATGTATGTTTAAATAAAACTCATTTGGGAAAACGAGATGAAAAGATCATTTTTAACCGGAACGTCCGTCGCAGACAACACGAGCTTGATTAGGGTTTAGGATTTAGGAACAAAAGCTTAATTAGTTCCTTCTATTTTAGTATTTTGAGTATATAATAATTAAGTTATAAATTCATGATATATGAAAGTGTTAATCTAAAAAGAAAAATCAGCACCAAGTGGTATACTACCTCTGGTCCTAATTATAAGAGCCAGTTGACTAATTTGAAGAGATTAAGGAAGTAAGTTGAGTTAATTATTTGTTCTAAATAAGTGTTGTCTTTCCTAAAATATCCTTACTAATCAAATGTATTAACTAAAATTACTATTGTTAGAAGGGCTATTTTGAAAAAACATGTATAAATATAAAAGACGAAGATTAGGGTCTTATATTTAAAACCAAAATAAAAGTCAAACAGGATCTTATATTAAAGACCGGAGGTAGTATAATGTATGTTTAAATAAAACTCATGACTCATGACTTTAAACCCAAGGCTCATAAAGCATTCGATTGACATAACTTTTGCATAAATATATACTTTTTTTTTCTGTTGAGGCAATTAAGATCTTTTGAGCAAGCGCCTAATAATCAACCACACAACATGTTATGATGAACAAGATGTAAGCTACGCATTAAAGTTGATTAGACACAAAACGAGGGACGTAAATTGCCCAAATTAAATGAATCCAAACGAAAAATAATGAATATTTTTGTGCCATGTTGAAAAAAAAAAAAGCAAGCTTGCACGGGTACATTAATTAATTGTATGATCTAAGTGCCCTTTTCTTCCAACCTGATTATATAATTTTGTTTATAGCAGAAAGGTGACCAGATATTGTATATGTATTGAAACTGATTTATTAGTGTTATATATTTAATTTGGAAGAAGATTATTTTAATTAAATGGATAATTAAATCAAGGTATTGCCTTAATAATTACTTGAAAAAACTATACATATGTATTACTATAGCAGAATAGTATTGGGCAATGATATGTATTGAAGGTACCTACTGATAATAATAAAAAAGCTCAAGAACAAGTGGAGAAGATGACGCACTGATTCTGTCATCCATTTATATATGTGCATGTACCCGCACACTCACAAAAATATATCATATAACGCTAAATTACGTACTTAAAATAAATTGATCCAAATAAACACTGCTATAGGTATATATATAAATATATATACTACTTCCCATCCTAATTACAAGAACTAATTGACTAATTTAATTTGAGAAGATTAAAAAAAAAGTTAAGTTAGTTATTTGTAATAATAAGTGTTGTCTTTTTTAAAATATCTTTGCTAATCAAGAGTGTTAGCTAGAACTAGCGTTATTAAAAGGACTATCTTGAAAAAATACATAAATATTAAAGATAAAAGAAATTAAAGTTTTATATTTAAAATCAAAATAAAAATTAAATAAAGTTTTATATTAAGGGTCGGACGTAGTATATTACTCCTCCGGTCCTTATTATAAAACCCCATTTGACTTTTTATTTGGTCCTAATTATAAGACCCCAATCCATTTTATCTCTTATATTTATGCATTTTTTCCAAGATAATCCTTCTAATAATGATAGTTTTAGCCAATATACTTAATTAGCAAGGATATTTTAGGAATGACAACATTTATTTATTATAAATAACCAACTTAACTTACTTCTTTAATCTCCTCAAATAAGTCAATTAGGTCTTATAATTAGGACCGGAGGAGAAGAATGATTCTGGTGATAA